CCTCCTACGGCCCCGCCCTCACTCCACCTCGTTCCCCCTGAGGCACTTCTAAAAGTGATGGGGCCCGGATCCCGCCCCGTTCCGGCGCTCTTGGCATAGATTCATAGATTTCAGCATGATGATGTAGTCTGAGCTCTTGTCTAACACAGGCCAGAAACCTTCCCCTAAATGATCAAGTCACTTCTTAGCCTTCTCTTGGCTAAACTAAAGAGAGTGATTAAATATTCGTTGGGACGGAGAGAGAGTAAAAATGACTCCCCAGGTGCATGCCCTAAGCACTAAGCTGTAAAGTGCACGGACCCTTGAATTCCGGTCCCGGCTCCCATGAAGATTTAGTTATAAAAAATGGAACAGCTTCAACAGGAGAGAGTGAGCGAGAGCACCCTCCTGAGTATGCAATAGCTTGGTGGTTAGGACACTCCCCAGGGAGGTGGCAGACCTGGGTTCAGATCCCTGCTCCAAATTAGACAGACTAGGGATTTGAACCCAGGTCTGTCACCTTCAAGGTGAAGGCCCTGACCCATTGACTGTAATGGGGACTCTTCCATGCTTTGTAAGCAAGAACTGATCTGGCTTAGGTGCCTAACGTCAGGAATGGGCTCTCAGCTGAGAATCCTGACCAGGCGGGAGGTGCTTAAATACACCTGTGGATCTGCCCCCTCCTCCCCCAGGTTCTATAGTGATGAACATGGTGTATGCACTTAAATAGAACAGAAATGAGGCCGACATTTTTCACAGTGAGGATAATTAACCGTTGGATCAACTCACCAAGGGTCATGGTGGATTCTCCATCACTGACAATTTCTAAATCAAGATTGGATGTTTTTCGAAAAGATCTGCTCTAGCACAACCAGAAGTTGTTGAGCTTGATGCAGGAATCACTGGGGGAGGTTCTGCACTCTGTGTCATGCAGGACGTCACCATTCCAGCATTAAGATCTATGAATCTATGCACTTGATAGTAGTAGTGAGGCACAGAACTCTCCTCCTTGCCCACATACTAGGGCAGTGCCATTCCAGATTCTCCCTCTTCCAGGCTTGTAGGAAGTTCTTGGTAATGCCAGAATAGCA